CAGATTTAAAGAAGAATGAAATTATGGCATTTGGATGGAATTGGAGAATATCATGCAAACAAAACAAAACAAACAAAAAAAGCCAATCCCCCAAACCAAAGGCCAAATGTTTTCTCTAATATGCAGATGCTAATTCACTATAAGGGGGGAGTGGCACTAAAGAAGAAAAGAGTTACCTTAGATTAGATTAGGGAAATGAAGGGAGGGGAGAGGAAGGGTTATGGGAATAGGAAGGATAGTAGAACAAAATAGACATTATTGCTTTATGTATATATGTGACTGCATGACCAATGTGATTCTACAACACGTACACTCAGAAAAATGAGAAATTGTATCCCATCTACATATGACACGTCAAAGTGCATAAGTGCAGTCTATTGTCATGTATAACTAATTAAAATAAATTTAAAAATTAAAAAAAAACAGTTTGTCATTCTGGAAAGTTAAACAGAATCATCATATAAATGCACCCATTCACCCCAAGGTATATAGTGAAAAGAATTGTAAAGAAGGACTCAAAAAAAAAAAATATATGTCCACCATGTTCATAGCAGCATTATCTTCAACAGTCATTCATAGAAACAATCCAACTGTCCATCAAAGGTTGAATGGATAAATAAAATGTGCCATATACAGACAACGGAATGACTCAGCCATTAGAATGAATGGTATTCTGATACTTGCTACAACATAGATGAACCTTGAAATCATGATGGTAAGTGAAGTGAGCCAGGTACAGAAGGACAAATAGCAAGTAGTATATGATTCTATTGAGATATGTGGAATAGGCAAATTCGTGCAAACAGAAAAGTGGCATGGCAGTAACAGGGGCTGTATGATGAGTGAGAAGAGAGTCACTGTTTGTGTTTGGGATAATGAAAAGTCCTAGAGAGAGTGATGACTGCACACGTGGTCAGTGTTCTTAATGCCATTGAACTGCAGAATTAAAAATGGTTAGAATGGCTGAGTGTGGTGGTGCCTATAATCTCAGTGGCTCAGGAGCCTGAGGCAAGAGGATCACAAGTTCAAAGCCAGCTTTAGCAACTTAGCAAGGCTCTGAACAACTTAGTGGGAACTTGTCTTAAATAAAAAAAGGCGGGGGAGAGGCATCTGGGATGCCCCTAGGTTCATCCCTGATTTAAAAAAAAAAATGCCATTTTATGTTATGGATATTTTTTCACATTAAGAAAATTTATGAAACAAATATAAAAAAAATCCCCCAAAGTGGGTTTTTGTTTGTTTGTGCTGGAAAGAGAAAATAGAACAGATTTTAAAATTTTGTTTTTTCTTTCTGTCCTTGCTTTCTTGAAACCCTGCCTGCCCATGCTGTGAGGCAGAGTGACAAGGACACCCCCACGACATTGCTGCGGCTTTTCAGGCTGTGAATTTGAGTGGTCATGTGCCTCAGGAGATTCTGCGTCATCTGGAAAGATTTCTAGCTTGGCAATTTTATTCTAATTCTTCAGCTTTCAAGAGTATGTATCATTGGAGCTTTCCCCAGCCCCCTAAGTATATGTTAGGCCAGAATTTGCTTATGAAAATATTATTTTAGAATTCCTTCCACTTCTATCATCTGTTTGTTTTCCTTTCTGCATATTTCATAATGAAGCATAGAGATTTCTGAATCAGCAGTTATAGTAGTGTGTGCATTAGCTATCACTTCTTTATGACCTACTTTATACACAATTACTAACTCTGGTGAAAGTTCAGGTTTCAATTTGTTTTTGTTTTTTAAATTTTTTTTTTCCCCTGAGACTAACATACATGTCTAAGGAAAAAAGGAAAAGAAAAGACAGACCAAATTTCTCCTGGTGACCAGGGTGGGCATCCTGGATCAGCCCTGAGGCTCCCCATCTCCTTTCTCTCCTGAAAAGGCTCAAGGCTCTCAAATTATACCCTCTGTGCATTCAACAAACACTTCTGGCTGTTGTTCACCACCACCGTGCCACGCTGCAGGAACACAAAGCAGAGGGAGACCAGGTCCCTGTTCTTAGGAGACATACACACCAGGGAAGTTCCCCTCCCACTTTAGTGTGCGGCAAGAGAATCTGGACCCAGGAATCCAGTTCAGTAAGTCCGCATTCCTAATGTCTTCCCAGATCCCTCTGAGGGGGACCCCCAGACCACACCTGGAGAAACAGTGTGACTTGAGGACAGGCAGGGGTCTATTCCCCACTCAAGACAGAAGGAGCCTCAGAGCACTGAGAAAGCACAGGGAAGGGGAGACAAGAATGCCTGAGAGATGAGGGAAGGCTTCACAGAAGAGGACAATGGGCAGGTGGAAAGGCACAGCTGGAACTGTCACCCCAGAATGTGATGGCAAGAATTTGGATCCTGTTCCTCCCAGCCACAGCCTCTGAAGCATTTGTGGGACAGGAGACTCTGGTGCAAGGGGGAACGCTCATCTCTGAGAGGATCCAGATGGATGAAGCAGACCCACAGCTAGCCTTAACCTCTGGCCTTGGGTGATGGATGATGTTACCTGCTTTTCAGGGTTGGGGTAAGAATTAGAGTTGGAGTAAGAATAAAGTGAGCCAATGTGTGGAAAACCCTTAATGCACAATTAACATGATGTCTACTGCTATTTTTATTATTCTAGATTTTTCTCTGGATAGATTCCTAGAAGTGGGGTTACCGGAACAAGGAATCTTATACGTGTTATTAAATGATACAAAAAGAAGTATTAAATGATACCGGCTGAGGCAGGAGGATCGAAAGTTCGAGGCTAACCTGGACAACTTAAAAACACCCTATCTCCAAATAAAATTAAAAGGAGCTGGGGATGTTGTCGATCAGAGACAGAGTGCTTGCCTAGCATGTGTGAGGCTTAGGGTTCAGTCCCCAGTACCACAAAGAAGAAAGAAGGAGGAGGAGGAAGAGAAGGAGGGGAGGAGGTGGTGGGGGGTGTCCTGTTTATGCAATTTTCTTTTAAGTTTCACAAAAGTGGCTCAGTTTGACTACTGGAGATAAAGCTATTCATTTTTATTTATGTGCTGGGTACCTGGACATATGACAAAGTATTGGCAGTGGTCATGTCTGGGTGGGAGGGACAATGGGTGTTTTCTGTGTTCTTTTTGCTGAATTGATAAATAGTAGCTATTATCTTCCTACTACTACTATTCTTCTTCTCTTCCTCTTCCTCCTCTTCCTCTTCCTTTTTCTCTGCCTTATCTTTTCTTCTTCTCCCATTGGAGAAAGAGAGAGAGAGAGAGAGAGAGAGAGAGAGAGAGAGAGAGAGAGAGAGAAAGTGAGCTTATTCCAAATCCTGGAAATTCCTTTAACATTTCTCCCATAGAAGACCCTGTTACAATGCAAATATGTTTCCTGGGAAATGCAACTCCTGGATCTTGTTACACAACCCCCTCCCCAGTTATTGATCCAACTGTCGGGCTCTTGACACCTGGCCCACAGTAAAGACAGATGGAAGGTCTGGGGCAGAGATACCATCCCAGAAAGGCAAGCCCAGAGTCAGAGTGGTGGCAGTGGGGGCCCTGAGAGCTAGAAGGCCCATCAAGAGACACAGGAGGCTCACAAAACCCAAAGCAGTGGGCAGATTGCCAGAGGAGCCCATGAAAGGCAACAGCTGCCCTGCTGTCTGACCTGGCTTGTGTTCAATGGCAAGAGACAGAGGAATGAGCCAGTGGCCTTCTGAGGTTTCTGTGAAAGCCCAGTTATTGGGTGGAAAGAAAGATCCTAAGGCTGCAGATTGCCTATCAGTGTATGCCAATTCTCCTTGGCATACACTTTATACCAGAAGGTTACAGTTTATGCTGAACAGTTCCAAAGTGCTGGTAAGTGAGTCACTCTGGAAGCAACTCTAAGATCTCGGAGTAGATGCTACAACAGTTTGGAATGTTTCATTAAAATATTTTCTATATGAAAACTTCCCTTTCTTGACTATCTTATTACATAGCTATATTACTACAGGCTTCTTTTTAGACAAAATGAAACACTCTAACATTCCCACTAACATTTTCCTACCATAATTGAAATTTTTTGGAGAAATACTTTGAGAGATTTATATTTCTGAAATACAACGGTGTTGCTTTTGATTCCCCCAATTCCCTTAATTCTAATATGGGGCAGAAACCCCTTTTTTCCCAAGGGTTCAAAGAAGCCTCTGAATAACAGAGAAGCTAAAAACCACATTAGAATTGTGCTCCATTTGTATACAAGGAATTGAAAAGCTTTCTGCTATCATGTATAACTGATTAGAACTAATAAAATTTTTTTTAAAAATCCAAATTTCAAGAAACTGAGAGGTTTATGACTCAAGGAGACAGAGTCTGGGTAGAAGGGAGGGTGCTCAGGTTGTCAATATGGACAAAGGCTGACAGTCTTACATTTATTATAACAAAGAAAGGGAGGTGAGGGACCAAAGAGAAGGCTACAAACCCTCCTAGATACTTCTTCTATCCTCACTGTCAACCAGAATTACTCCGGTGGGCTTCTACATGTTCCTATTATTGCAAACAAACCCAACCATGCTGGAAATAATGTTATATCCCTTCTTCAAAAGAGGAAGGCAGTGGGGCTGGGATTGTAGCTCAGTGGTGGAGCGCTTGCCTAGCATGTGTGAGGCAATTGAACTGGATTCGATTCTCAGCATCACATATAAATAAATTTTTAAAAAATAAAATTCTATCAACAATATATATATATATATATATATATATATATATATATAGAGAGAGAGAGAGAGAGAGAGAGAGAGAGAGAGAGATATTTTTTTAAAGAGGAAGAGAGTATTGGGAGAAAGATATGAACAGAGTGCAAGCTACTCAGACCTGCAAGGTTTCCAAAGAGCCCAGTGTTCAGAAGCCCCCATGCAAGGCACTGTGGAGATGCTACCAGAATGTGCAGGGGAAAGGTAATGGGCTCAGGAAGGCCTGGTGCAAACAGAAGCATGAGTGTCCAGCAGCAGAGGAAGCAGATTGAAACCCCCTTGGGGGCTGCACCTTACTGGCACCCATCATCCCTCTCCTTGTCTTTTTCCACAGAGCTTCTGAGCAGAAAGTTGTCCTCTGATCCAGGAAAGAAACCCAGCCCACACTTCAGAGCAGAGTTCCAGATCTGGGCCTTCGCCTGGCTCTGACCTTGAGGGTAAAGGCCCTGGGAGTTGATGCACATCTGTTTCCTGAGCCAGGACCTCAATCTAGATCTGGTTAGAGTGGTGGGGCCTTCCTCTCTGCCCCCTTCATATTTCTGGAGAAGAAGGAAAGCAAGTCTGCAAGAGGCAATTCTGAACAACAAACCGAGCCAAATGGAAGGGGCAAGGAGACACCAAATAGGGAATGAAAGGTTTCCCTGTAACAGTTGGGGTTGCTTTCAGTTGGCTACAATAGAAACCCAACTTCACTGGTTAATAAAACAAAGGGTTACTTTTTTCACATAACAAATCTGAAGTAAGGCCTTCCAAGGAGGTACAGTGGCTTTACAATGTCTGCAATATCTTAGTTTCCTTCTGTGTGTGGGGCCACTCTGAGCTATTTGCATAGCCTCTACTCCGCCTTGAAGCCAAGGAGATTTTGTTCTGGCATTGCAAGTCATTTTGTGGCTTATTACGCAAAGCACATGACCTCAGCTATAGAGGCTTCACTCAGCTATAGAGGCTGCTCTGTAGCTCTGCAGTTGGTCATTACCCATTGGGCTTGGACAGCCCACTTCTTGCCTTATTTGATGAAGAATATTCTATGGAAAAGCCTTTGTGTATCCCCATATAAAAATAAAAAACACAGGCTTACTCTCTTTTCCCAGTGTGGAAGAAGAACCCTTAAGGTCGCAGACCGTCCCACACTCGCATTTCAAAATTATCTCTGGATCCTATGATTTTTCACTGTATTTCACAACCAGCTCACTACATGCTGGGGATCACAGTTTATCTTGCCTGAGCGGGACGCAGGCGAGACCTCTGTCTTCCTACTCTATCACACTCAGAATGTGGCTTTCCTTTTTGTGGTTGCCTCAAGGCCACAACATGGCTACTTTGCCCCTGGCCTTATACCCACATTCCTTCCAGGCAGGAAGAAGGAACAAGGAGAGATGGCATCCATATTTGGAAAGCAACAGTTTTCCATAAATCCCTGGACATATGATAAAGTATTGGCAGTGGTCATGTCTGGATGGGAGGGACAATGGGTGTCATTAGCCATTTCAAGTCTCATTAGCCAGAACCATATCACAAGGACATTCACAGCAGTAGCAGAGCCTGGGCTTTGAACTAGAAGCTGTAACTCCCTGGGGATGTCACCCCATAGGGAACATGGAAAGAATAGATAGTAACTGGTACTATCTGCCTCGTTCTCCACCTATAAAATAGGGTTATAAACTACCTTGAAGAGTTGACAAAATTAAGAGAGAATATAGCTGGTCTTGGTGACACACTGCTATAATCCCAGTGATTTGGGAGGCTGAGGCAGGAGGATTATAAATTTGAGGTCAGCCTCAGTAGTTTATCAAGGTCCTAAATCCTAAACAACTTAGAGAGACTCTGACTCAGAATAAAAAATAAGAAGGGCTGGAGATGTGGTTCGGTGTCAAAACACCCCTGGGTTAAATCCCTAGTGAGAGAGAGAGAGAGAGAGAGAGAGAGAGAGAGAAATATGTAAGCAAATATTGTACTCAGTACCAAAGACATGGTAAGTATTCAGTAAAAGTAATTATATTATTGCATTTCCAGATATGGCATTTAATTCAAACATCCAAGAGTTTTCCCTGAAGGGGCAGAAAATTCATTGGTAAAGACACTTGACCCACTCTGCCTGCAATTCTTCTACAATGAATTGACTTCTGGATTAATGGCTCTTTTCTCAAAAGTCTATTCAATGTTAATAAATCCTAACTGGATTATCATTATGACTCTTCACTTATAATGTGTGACACAGAAAAACAAATCTTGGAGAGACACAAAAGGCAAATGAGCTGTTTTCATTGCTTCGTGGCTACAGCCCTACATATTTCATTTCTGATTCATGGAAAAAAGTATTCAGCACACAGCAGTCAGCAAAATCATGAAACACCTCAGACCAGGGAGTGAAGTCCCAGTGTCTTAGTCACTTGGGCCTAGAAGGCTGACTTGGAAAGTGCTAAGAGCAGGAAAACTTTGACTTGCTTTGAAAATCTGCAGCCCCTCTTACCCACTACAGCCTTGTTTATTTTCACAGCATATTTTTGAAGCTTTTTGTAATGGTTAGGTTCCCCCCCCACACCCTCACCCCTCCCCTTGCAAAGGAAAAGCACAAACATAGCACAAAATGACTTATTTAAAAAGTTTTTATAGGGCCAGTGCTGTGGTTCAGTGGTAGAGCACTTGCCTAGCATGTATGAGGCACTGGGTTGGATTCTCAGCACCACATATAAATAAATAAAGGTCCATTGACAACTAAAAATATATATGTACTATAAAAGAAAGTAATTTATTGGCTTGAGTGACTAAAATGTCCAAGAGTAGAGTTTTAGGCGTGACTGGATCCAGGTGCTCAAATGAAGAATTAAGGAATCATTCTGGTTCTCCCTCTGTGGGTGACAAAACAGGCCCCTCGAAATTTTGAAAAACCAGCCTCTACCTCAGAGCAAAGCCTGTCCAAGGAAGGGACATCACCTTTGTCCTTGGAAAGACCCACAGAGCATTCCTAGGCACATTCCCACCCTGCTAAGTGGTTTATCTACAAATAACAGGAGAGATGTGCTGCGCCAGGTGTCCCTGACTCAGTCAGGCTAGGTGGAGATCCATAGTAACCCCCTAGCAGCCACCAATCAGCATGAGACAGGGAAATACCTGGGATGCCAGATGACCCTCCCAGTAGTTTATGGTGGTTGATAACGTGTTGGGAAACCATGTAGTTCAGCACGTACACCCCTCTTGGCTTAAACCAATCAGTTCAAATAAATCCCCCTCTTGTAGTAATCAATCACCCCTACCCAACTTGTTCCCGCCAGTGAATGTGCTAATCATGTTTTAGAGTTGTTATTTGATTTTCCCGCAGTGTGTGATGATTTGCTAAGAGATGCTATGATGTATGTAGGGGTCCCTGCCTTCCCCAAAGAGTGTATAAAACTGCTGCAAACCCTGGGCTCGGGGCCTCTCAGCGTCACCAGTTGCTGTGTGTGTGCGTGCGTGGAGGACCGAGCTAGCTCGCAATAAACACCTCTTTGCTGCTTACATCGATCTTGGTCTCTGGTGGTCTTTTGGGGGTCCCGAATTCGAGCATAACAATTTCTGAATGACAACCTACCAGCATGGGAACCCCAACAGAAAGAGAAGGACTTTTTCCCCAATAGTTTCAGCAAAAGCTCTAGGACAAGCACAACTTGGGTCACTGCCCACTCCTGGATCCATCACTGAGCTAAAGGGAATGTGATTCTGGGTCTCGTGTCTCCTGTGGAGCCAGGGGTGAGGCCAGACTCTCTCAAACCACTTAGGTTGGGTGTGGGAGAAAGGGGGGTTCTCCAAAGGACAGCTGGTTCTCCTGCCAGCTGAAGACTGTGCCAGGACCAGCCTTACAAATGCTCCAGGATCTTATTAGATATAGATATTATTGAACATTAATACCATAGTAAGACTAGTGACACCCGTTTCCATCTGTTAGTATACTATTCATTTTTCAGACTCATTTCAAATGTCACCACAAACAAATCTCCCTAATGAGATTAGTTTTCCATCAGCACTTTGTCTATTTTTCTCTTGGGGCATTTATCATAACTTGTGATGCTGTAGGATGAGCCACCCCCACCCCACCCCACCCCACCCCCACCCCCACCATTGGTCTAGCTCTGGTTTGGAGGGAATTTATGGCAGAGCCAGAGCTGAGAATGCCTCCTGTTTATCACCAACAGCCTGAGGATGAGGGCTGCTGGCTGCTTGTCCTGATGTGACCAAGCCTCAGAGTGAAAAGAATGCAGAATGGCGAGGAGGGCAATAACATGGCTCCCTCCAGGAAGTGAACCCATCCAAGGTGCAAAACTGGGCTTTAGAAGGCAGGCTGGCAGCCGGGCACAGTGGTGCATGCCTGTAATCCCAGCAGCTTGGACGCTGAGACAGGAGGATCGCCAGTTCAAAGCCAGCCTTAGTAACAGCAAGGTGCTAAGCAACTCAGTGAGACCACGTCTCTAGTAAAATACAAAATTGGTCTGGGGATGTGGCTCAGTGGTTGAGTGCCCCTGAGTTCAATCCCTGATACCTACCCATCCCACCCCCGAAAAAGAAGGCATATCGGAACTGTTTTTAATATGTGTGGTGAACCCTGTCCTGGAGCTTAGAACAGACTCAAACCCTAAGACGGCATTGTCTTAGAAAGTTCATGTACTAAACGAATTTAAGAAAATAGAGAGCTGTGAGATGCCTGTCTCCCTTCAGTAAATAAGATGCACCCCAGATGCCTTTTACACGCTCCCCGGGGCTGGTACCTTATTAATAAGTTCTGAACCTTCCTGTGCTGTTCATACTTTTTTCTAGTCATCTGTTTCCTCTCCTGACATTGGTGGCTTCATTCCAGGGCCACTCCCCTTGGGGAGAGGAAGCCAGCATACCCAGGTCCTCCTAGCTTCACCCTTGCCTGCAGGCACCTTCAGATTTCCCCGGTTTCCTGTTCAACTCATCAGGTTTTAATTATGTGAACTAATATTTGCTCACTATTAAACCAAGTTTACCCTCGTAAAAGGCAAACACCTAAAGACCAGAAAAATCTAACCGTTTATGCAATCATGCTCTTGTTTCCTGCTACCTCGAATTTCCCTCCTGCTCTATCATTCTGGGTATTCTGCTTTGCAGACACCTCCCTCCTGGTCTTCTCATCATGGAGGCTACAGTTCTTTCTTTTCCATGTCCACCTATGCCTGGCAGAGTCAGGACTAACTCTCCGCCTGCAGATCCCGCCCCTCACCTTCTGGGCAGAAATGGCCTCCACTAGCTCCTTAGTAAGGACTAACGTAACAACTTTCTGGAGCTGTGGCGGTGCTTCCCTTTCTGCGGCTTCTGAGTCATATTTCTGGATCAGAAATTGAGGGCTGTCTGAGCAGAATCTGAGCTGTATTGTTTCTCAATTTTTGTCAAGCAGATCACAGATTCTTCCTCTGCCAAGTTTCTCCCTCATGATTCTGACATGTTTGTCCCAAAACACACTCATATCTCATAACCAAAAGAGCCTGAGGGGGAAAAACACTAGAACTCAAGTGATACAAAGATAGAAGCTTGCAGGGTGCAGCGGTGAACGCATGTAATCCCAGCAGCTTGGAAGCCTGAGGCAGGAGGATGGCAAGTTCAAAGCCAGTCTCAGCAACTCAGTGAGATGCTGTTTCTAAATAAAATATAAAAAAGGGCTGGGGATGTGGTTCAGTGATTAAGCACCTTTGGGTTCAATCCCTGACAACAACAACAACAACAAAACGATGGAAGCTCATTGCAGGAGACTTCGTTCATTTTGATAGTGACCCAGAAGTTCCTAGTCCATTACTTTTAGTGGTTGTTAGAGTACAGTGTACTCAATTTGAAATTGAAGCCTCCCCCCCGCACCCCCACCCCAGCAGGCTGCTCAGATTGTGAGGTATCTTAGGGAAGGCAGTAAAAAATCAAGCCACAGTCTATCAACCAACAGGAAGTGAGCCATTTTATCCACAGGCCAGACAGAAGGAGGAGCTCAGAAGCATCCTTTCTTCTATGATAGGGTACAATTACCAGAAATCTGAACCACACCAGAAGTTCTTAGTGCAGTAGATACTTAGTAAGAAAAAACACACACGCTTCCTCTGCTGGAAACTCAGTCCGTGTCTGTGGCAGAATGAAAGGCTTTGGCTTTGAGTTCACATCACGCAGATATAAATAACTGCCTCTGATGACTTCAGACTTGACTTCCTCAAAGCTTCGGTCTTCACTTCCTCCAGTGCATGCATATACACCTGTTCCTCCAAAAAATGGCACCCTGGTTTCTAAGTAAATTATCCTCAGATATTTCAGGACTCTGAGGTAGAGTCCTAAAGGAAGGCAAAATCACTGTACTCAACAGATCAGCTGCACTTTTACATAAAATTCTCCATTACACTTCTCCAAAGATAGTAAACCACAAATTCAAATATGTAATTCTTGAAATGAAAGAAAATCTGCCATACACTGTGATCTTTAATCACAGCCTCCCTGCGGGTATAAACAGTTCAGCTATACAACATGTCTATGCAGACAAGCCTGTGTGCTGCGCATGCGCACATGTGGGGACATGCCACACACACCCCCCACACACACACACAAGCATGGACACTCTCAGTGTCATGTATAACAAACAGTAGAGAATTTCATGCTTTCAGAACAAGCATCAGCAGCCAAATTCTTAAAATGTGAAGGTAAGCATGCAAGAAGCAAAACTTGTGATCTCAGGCCACTTTGATTCTATTTCTGGAGCTCAGCCAACAGAGAAATCTCCAAGAAAAGCAGTCAGACAGTTGTACATTCAGCTCACCAGCCTTAGCCAAGCTGTTTGTCAAGCTAAGGGGGACGTTTCTTCTCATCCAAGGAGCTCAAACTCTCGTCCCACAACCGGGTAACTAAAATAACAAGAAATCAGCCTTCATCAAAAGTGTACACAGAAGGGGAGGTGTGGGAGGAATAAAACCACCCCCCACTGTGAGCAACCAGAGGGGAGCACAACCAAACAATGACAGGCTGAGCTCTGCCAGTCAACAGGCGACAAGGCGTGTCCGTTTCTGACAAAGGGGAGAATGGACTGGGTTCAAACACACTCCTTCCTTTTGTGACCCAGACACCAGTCACCCAGGCTGCCAAGAAAATCGCTCTCCTTGAGTGGGCAGCCTTGCCTGAAGAAGTTATGTCTGTAAGCAATGTGGACCCAGAAGATTTGTAAAAG